ATTTTACAGATTGCCTTCTGAAATTTTGCCATAGAGACAAACAAGACTGGAATGAATCAGTATGTATAAAGAGTTGTTAGGCATTCTTCTCTTTCCATAGATCTCTATGATATCACAAGAGTTACAAAGATAAAATTTCTAGTCATTGCTCCAGCTCTCACTTGTCAGTTGGCTTCTGGAAAATGTCATTGGTTATTGGCACCCTATTTTTGATATTTCAGAGAATGACATCCACTACATTATCATATGGAAAAAGTATAGATAGAAAATATAAACATGGTTGAAAATTTATACTCAGTGCTCAATATCAATAATTTTGTTAAAAACATTATTAATGCATATCTAAGGACAGACTTGGGAATTTAAATACATCTAAAATGCCACATTTCTGATTTATCTACTTATATTCAACTTATGTACCATAAAAATATGTAGTTACTTAACCCATATCCTTGAAATATTGACATATTCTGCTCTACAATGGCCACTTCACATGTCTTTCTCTTATAGTAGACAATTTTTTTATTAACGGAATTCAATAGGATTTCACAGGAAGGGAAGAAATAATACCCTTTTGCAATTTTTCATAGTTTCAATCCCAAACCCTAATGATGGCTAGTCATCCTTCCTAAACGTTTTGAATTTTGGAATATGGGAGTCAATTATAAGGATCATGGAACTATATTCTTGAATTTTAGTTCATTTATGATCATGTATTATGGTTTGTCTACAGTTACTAGGCAAATGTTATACAATTGTGTGAAAACAGGAGATACCACAGTGCGTGTTTGTATGCACATATGCATACACATATAACATATATACATACAGATATATGTAAACACACTTGAGAAGCAGTATTGAAAAGGGTCATTACAATCATTCAGGCTTTCCCAGTACAAGTGTAGCAGCACTGGAGTCATAAGACAATGATTTCATTTATAGCTTTAGCTATGATGACATTTTATGAAAAATCATTTCTATATGTTTTCAAAGGTAAATCAGATGTCCATTTAAAGATAAAATCTGAATTGGGTCAACATTTTGTTAATCAAATGTAACAAAGTGTAAGATAAGTTCCTCCTGGTGCAAAAAGAATTCTGAGTGTGCATTGGAAATGCATTTAAACAAGTCAAGCTGGTAGTGCATTCCTCCGTTGATTAAAATCTCCCCTTTTCATCACCAACTGATGAACTGTGTGTGTGCAGGAGGCGGGTGGGCAGGGGGTGGGCGGTGTGCAACTGACTGTGCTCAGGGTTTACTCCTGAATCTGTACTCCAGGATCACTTCTGGAAGGCTCAGGGGACATACGTGGTGCTGGGGATAGAACCCAGGTCAGTTATTGCAAACAAGTGCTGTACCTGCAGTACTCTCACTCAGGCTTGTTTCTCTCAGTTTGTGTTTAAAAACTTACACAAGTGAGATGGTCCAGTATTTTTTTTCTCTTTTTCTCTTTCTTCACTTATCATGACGAGCTCAAATTGTTACAATAGTAGGATTTCCTTTTTCTTTGTGATTGAATAATATTTCTTTGTGTGTATACATATATCACATGTGACATATACATATATCATATATTTTGGAATATCTGACTTATTTCATCTTTCTATAGTGCATATTTTTATTGGTAATATGGCAGAAGACCAAAGAGACTCATTGGAATTATTCTGTGTAGAGCAAACTATGATGAAAAGCTCAACTAAAGCAACATAAATAGAGATAGAGTGAAAGACAAAGCTGAGTTACAGGATGTAGAACTAACAAGATAGATTAGATGAAGGGGATGAGTAAAAGAAAGATATTTTACTTCCATATCCTTTGTGTAGCTTTATTAATATCTCAGCACAAACTTTTGTAGTGGCATATACATTTTTTCTTGACATTTAAAAAAAAACTGTCGGGGCTGGAGTGATAGCACAGCAGGTAGGGCATTTGCCTTGCACGCGGCCAACCCGGGCTTGATTCCCAGCATCCCATATGGTCCCCTGAGCACCGCCAGGAGTGATTTCTGAGTGCAGAGCCAGGAGTAACCCCTGTGCATTGCCAGGGGTTATACCATTGTCTTAGAGTGAAACACAAAACCATAAATGAACATCCTACAGAGCATGAAAAAAAAGATAAATAAAAAGAAAAAAATAAAAAAAAAGAAAAAAGATAAATAAATAAAACCTGTTGTTATGAAGATTGCTTATAATTTGAGAAATGCACTGTTCGTTCTAGCTATTGAGCAACCAGATATCAAATTTATTTCAAGTTTGACTTATTAGTTTATTAACCTGCTTATGTAGACAAGTTCAATTAAAGTGAAACTATGAAAACAAATATCAGCACTTCAATATTTTGTTAATGATATAAAGAAATACTTGGCTGACTAGAACAACTGCATTTAGTATTTTCCCAAATTTCTATGCAATTCACAATATAATAACAGACCCAAGAAACCTTTCACCTGTATTGTTAGCATTTACTCCATTCTTTTTATATGTCTGATCAATCAGTCCAACAATTTACCAAGGTCTGATTTGTAGCATGTGTTATTTCAAGCCATAAATATTCCTACCATGACTGAGTTCAAATTAGTAACATGGTGCCATGTGAACTCCATGTATGAAGATGTGCAGCATCACACTAGGTTGTCTCTACGACACAAATGCCACTGTCAAATAACAGATGAATGTGATAAGATATGTACTGACAGGCTACAGAATGTAACCTGCCCACATGGCAGAGTCTGGCAAACTCCCCATGGCGTACCCAATATGCCAAATACCAGTAACAATGATCGGTCTCATTCTCCTAAAGAGCGTTGAATATGGCACTTTCTTAAAAATCTCAGGGCTAGGATGAAGGAGACATTACTGGGGCCTGCTCGAGGCAATCGACGAATAACAGGATGGTCGTGATCATGATCATGATGTACTGAATGCTACCTCTGTTTGTAATATAATTTGGGGTGATTGGTTAGTGAATGCTACCTTTGTTTGTAATATAATTTGGGGTGATTGCTTAGGCCATACCCAGTGGTGGCTGTATAACACTTAGAATAACCTTGATCTGTGCTCAGGGGCTACTCTCAGTGATGTCAGTGTGCCATGTGGTTCTAAGAATTGGACCAGGGTCAGCATGTATAAGGCAAGCACCTAAACCCCTGGCCCTGTTTATAATTATAATTTAATTTCATATTTTCCTTATATAGCTTTTATAAGTAGTAATAAAATTATATAAGGAAAATATAAAATCAGCTGATACCATATTATATCTAAAATTCTTGAAGATTTAACACTAGTTCAGAACCCAGTACTCATTTAGCCTCAGCCCTTCACTGCTTATGTTAAGCATACACTGACCACTTCATACACTGACCATTTTCAGAGATCTAAGAGGTCACTTAGAAATTCAGAATAAAGACATCCCACTATTTTGCCCTTGCTTGTCTAAAAAGGCCACCTCCAAAGTTATACAGAGAGAGAAAGGCGGGTGGTCGGGAGTGGAGGGAAAGGAGTCAAGTGACTTGAAAGGGAAGCTATCATTTCTAGTCAAAGTATCACTTTCTAGAATTTGGTCAAAATATTAGAATTATCTTTGGGATATTTGGGAAAATTATTTATTGAGTTCAAAAACTAAAAAGAATAGGATGATCTATACCATTGTCTTAGAGTGAAACACAAAACCATAAATGAACATCCTACAGAGCATGAAAAATATTCTTACTCAATCTTATTCTTTATTTTGGGGGTCAAGGGGAGCACACCTGGCAGTGCTCAGTGTCTACTCCCAGCTTGGTTCTCAAAGTCACTCCCCATGTACTCAGAGAGGAACCTAGACCTCCTACATGCAAACCAGAAACTCAACCTCTTGAGCCACCACTCCAGCACCAAAACTATTCTTTTCCTTGTCTTTCACATCATTCACAGAACCAAAGCGAACCAGTTAGTCCTGTCTAAAATGATAGAGAACTGTCCCTGCTAACACCTCAAATTTAGTGACCTTTCAAGTTTTTTTTTTCATTTCATTCCACTCAATTTTGATACCCTTATCCAAACCCACATCACCTTTCCCCAGACTCACATCATCTTTCCCCAGACCACCACTTCCCCTAATTTCAAGTGGTCCTTTTCCCTCCACCCTTCCTCACTTGAACCTCATTGTACACAGAGCACCCAGAATAAATCCAGAATAAATGTCTTAAGATGTTAATAAGATTATGTCATTTCATTGCTTAAATTTTGTTATAAATTAGCCTAGACATTAGTCCAAATTTATTTATAAATTTTTATAGAAAGTTTAAGAACTGTAGAAAGGATGTCACCTGAAGAATGCAGACATCATATAATAGATATCAGACTAAGAGAATCCTGGTGTTATAGTGTGGGAATAAAAATCAAGATTTTCTTTATTTAATTATTTACTTATTCTTTTTTTTCTGTAATTTTATGGAGGTAACATTGTTTACAGTGTTTTCTATTTTATTGTTTTATACTTGCAATGCTACTTCACCACCTCATTACCAGAGTGCCAATACAAATCTACCACTGCCACGAGATCATCCCTTCCTCAGCCCTCTCCCTGCCATGGGAGCCCAATCTTTTTGTTCTGTTGACTTTATTGCATGGTTTAATTCTGTTGAAAATTATTTAATCCTTTGCTTAATTCTTTTATGTTCCACATGCCTGACATAATCTAGTGCTTTCTTTATCATTCTGATAAAATCTCTATTTTATTTTTCTTTTACCATCAAAATTTTATTTCCGATGCGGAGACAGATTCCTTCCATCCCAAAATGAATCACCTTCTTCCCTGAAGAGATCTAGGGAGGGTCTCTGCTGCCCAGGAAAAGGAGCGGGTAAGGACTGGCAGTTCCCTGTCCTATGGATCTGGTCTCCTGTTCTCAACAGAAGACAGTTGCCCCCCAATAATATGTTTTTCACCTGCTCATTCCTTTAAAAAAAATCTATGACTGAAACAACATAGCACCAGACTATCTAGGGGAGGGTCCTGGCTGGACCAGGAGGGCAGAGGGCTGCAGGACCATCACTGTTTCTGCTGGAGGGCCTCCTTCCTTGCTGCATCTTGTAGTAACTGTGCGTCAGCCTCATTTGTTAGCAACTGAACATACTGGACCACGGAGCTCCGGATGAAGCAGTTCTTCACCGACAACATGAGGGGATATTTCTCAGAGTCGGTGACGCTGATATTTGTTAGTTTGATGTTGAGATACTGAACCACAGAATGGAGTCTTCCACAGATGCTCAAATCATTCTTGAGTTTCACCACCACATCCTTGCCCACAAGGGACTTGAAAAAAGAATAAAAGAGCATGGTGCTCTTGAGGGAGTGCTGGCCAGGCCTGAAAGAACCGGGCCGGGGGTCTGCGTGCCAGATGGGCGGATCCAGAGCACAAGCCTGTGTGCAGGGCGAGCTTATTTTTCTTTTATTTTGTTTTCTTTTTTGGGTCACACCCGGAAATGCACAGGGATTACTCCTGGCTTTGCACTCAGGACTAACTCCTGGTGGTGCTCAGGGAACCATATGGGATGCAGGGTCAGCCGTGCAAGTCAAATGCCCTACCTGCTGTAGTATCACTCCAGCCCCTTCTTTTACTTTTTTGATATTTGGGCCATACCAGGTATACTTAGGGGCTACTCCTGACTCTATGCTTGAGAATCACCACCAATGATGTTTAAGGGAACATATGGTGGCAGGTACTAAACTCACATGTGAGACATGTATTCCAGCCTGCTGAATACTACCTCCCACCTCCTGCCCCAAGATTCAAATTTCAAAGTTGATTCATAATGTCCTATATATTTTAACCATGTCTCAATCAACAACCACAACTTGTTCTATTCTCTCCTTTTCAAATGCTTCAGTCTCATGAATGTCTTTTTGTGCTCTTTAATATGTCAAGTTATTTAATAATAACTTATGACCTACTACCTAGTAAGATTTCATCTATCTTTAAATTCTTAGCTCAAATGTCTCATCAGTAGGAAACTATTCCTTGATTGTATAATCTAAATTAGATCTCCTTTAGAATTTTTTCATAGAACCCATCACACCGACCAGTTTGATGAGTCTGTGTAAGTACATGATTAATTTTCATATCCCTTACAAACTGGCACTTAACAAAAGCAATATGCTTGAGTTGTTCAGCATGTATAATTTGTTCAGTAGGCATACCAAAACCTATATACTGCCAGGTCTAAGTAATAATTCCACCTTGAGAGAGAAGAAAAAGAAAATAGACGGGCCTGATCAGTAGTTTAAGCACCAGGAATGCACACATAGCATATGAAGGCCCCAAGTATGATCCCCAGCACTACATGAGTTCTCTGAACAATTACAGAGTAACCCAGATGCCCTCAGGTTTCCCAGACCTTGATATTGAACCAGCCAGTTAGACTAGCTGAGTATTATTGGAAGTAACCCTTAGTCTTCTGAGCACTGCTTGATAGAAACTCCCTCTACTCTTTGTCATCAAAGAATGGATAATAAGAGAATGAAAAAAAAAGGGAACAGAAATATGAATAAGAGAGGGAAAGAGGGGGATGAATGATAACATGAAGAAAGAAAGAAGTAGGCCCGGGAGAGAGAGTGGGAACAAAATGGAAGGAAAAAGGAGAAAGTAATGCAGAGGGAAATGGTTCAGTGATAAAAGTGCCTATCTTACATGTGCGAAACTCTGGATTCTATTCCCAAAACCACACACCAAACCTCCCCAAAATATCAAAATCCTTTTCTTGTCTTGCATATGTGAAGCTCTGGGTTTCACTCCCAGCACTGCTGTTTCCACAAGTGCTGAGCACCAAGTTTGGAGTTTCCCTGATTAGGATAGACTATGACTCAGAAACCAAAATAATAAATAAATAAAAAGAGAGAATAAATGAATATCAAATTATTATAAATCCATTTTAAATCCATTTTGTCACTACAAAACTGTGTAACGTTGAATGAGTCACATAACATCTTTCTGTCAATTTTCCTGCCTATAAAAGTTTTCAGCCTCATTAGAAATGAAAATTTGGTTGATTCTCAGAGGGGGAGTTTTGGTATCACATAAGGGACGATTCTTCGCTCAATAGGAGAGACAATTCTCTGCATCTGGAGGGAGAAAGAATGCCAGAGATAAAAGAAAGAAAACTTTGAAGAGAAGTAGTCCTCTTTTAGTTGCTGTTTTTCTGGATGTAGAGAGAAGGCAGGAACAAATCTCCCAGAAAATTCTGTTTTCTGTCAGCGAAGAAGAGCAGTCTGGGATGAGAGCAAGTTTATTGAGAAGACAGTGCTATAAGGTCCTTCTAAGCAGATAAACTTATGAACTTTCAAACCCCTGGCACTGCATAAGCACATGATTTTCCAGTGAAGCAAAGAGCACAAAAGAGGCCCTGAGGGCATCTGAGTGCCTGAAAAGTAAGATGATGAGACTTGAGGGCTGATCTGTGAGTACTGGGCACCACAACAAGATTGAATCAACATAAGCCTGTTAGTCAAATACTGAAAAGAAGAGACACCCTTTCAGCCACTTCCACCACCTTGAAACTGTAAGCAGCTCCCAAAATGAGAGACAACCTCAGGGATTTGATGGGAGGTAGTGGAAGTGTTTGAGATTACATTTCCTTCTCCTGAAAAATGATGTCTTGAATGAGGAAATTTGCATAAAAACAGTTGTATTTTCTGGCACATCTGAATTGCTTAGTTGAACTCTACACTTACAGCTTCAGATTGATTAATTTCCTTTGTCTTCCTACTCCTTAGCCATGCTTCTTTTGTTCCTCTCATCCCTCACTGGTCTGATTCTGTTTCCATTTCTTCCTTTTATTATTTTCAAATCCGTATTCTCTTCTAAACTTTTCCTTTGTACTATTTTCCCCAACACACACACACACACACACACACACACACACACACACACACACACACACATACACACACTTCATTCAACCCCCACAGTATCGAGAAAAACAGAAACTAAACCCTGAAATGAACTCAGAGACATATCTGGCCTTAGTTATAGGTCTGCTAATCTCTATAGGGTCCATCATATTTTCTGAGACTCCTAAATCATTTTACCAGGGAATTTTCTGCAATTTCTGTGGATTCTTTTTCCTTTGTTGTTCTTTAGGACTCCTCTGTAATTTAATGAGCAAACATTTTCTATTGGAAAAAAACAGTTTAAAAATTAAAAGACTGGGTCAGCAGCAATATCACTCCTGGGAATATATCCCAGAGCGGCAAAAATGTATAGTCGAAGTGACATCTACACTTGTATGTTCATTACAGCACTCTTTACAATAGCCAGAATCTGGAAAAAACCTGAGTGCCCATGAACAGATGACTGGTTAAAGAAACTTTGGTACATCTACACAATGGAGTACTATGTAGCTGTTAGAAAAGATGAAGTCATGAAATTTACATACAAATGGTACTACATGGAAAGTATCATGCTAAGTGAAATGAGCCAGGAAGAGAGGGACAGACATAAAAAGATTGCATTCATCTGTGGGACATAAAGTAACAAAATAGGAGATTAATACCAAGAATAGCCGAGATCAGTACCAGGAGGATTACTCCCTGGCCTAGAGGCCAGCCGGGCATTCTAGGGGAAAGAGCAGCTGAGATAGAGAAGGGAGCACCAAATAAAGGATGTTTGGAGGATCCTCCCAGGATGGGAGATGCATGTTGAAAGTAGAGTATGGACCGAACGTGGTTGCCACTCAATGCCTCTTTTGCAGACCACAACACCCAAAAGGAGAGAGAGAACAAAAGGGAATGCCCTGCCACAGAGGCAGGGTGGGATGGGGGGATGGAGGTGGGAGGGATACTGGAATCCATTGTGGTAGAAAATGGGCACTGGTGGAGGGATGGGTATTTGATCATTGTATAATCGAAGCCCAAGCACAAAAATTTGTAAGTCTACAACTGTACTTCATGGTGTTTCACTAATAGAAATTTAAAAAAAAAAATTTAAAAAAAAGACTGGGTCAGAAAGATATTACAGCAGGTAAGTCACTTGCTTTGCAATGGGTCTCTTTTGGGCACAACTTATGGTTCCACCACCAGGAGTGATCCCTGAATATAGACCAAGGAGTAACCTCTAAGCTCCACCTCAAAACATATAACATCTGTGCCTATGAAATAATACCAAAATTCCTTGTCTGACTTTCAGTAACAATTAAAATGGAAGATTCTATACCATCACTTTCCCCACAACTTTCCCATGAGAGCATTATTTTTTGGATGAACTATGATCTTTACTAAATCTATACACCTCATAATCTTATCCAATTCATTGTTTTTGCACAAGCATAGAGTTCAACCAACCTAATGACCTCTTCCCTCTCTGTCTATGGTGATATTATCATGTGTCAAGGAACAGCCAGAGACCTCCCTGTCCACCTAAGTCTAGAATACCTTACCTGCTGCACTATCTCCCCTAAATATTTTACTATTAATAATAAAAATTAAAAACACAAATAAATACAAAATCATTGCTATACATGTAGCAGATTCTTCCTTAAAGTTGTATTAAAGTAACGTATTTATTAAATGAATCAATAATATCAACTTAGTATGGCTAATTAACTGAATAATAGGATATGGAAGGGACAAAACAAGTATGTATTGAGCAAATGAATGTCTGAAATGCAGTCAACAGATCTCCCAGATGTTCTCACCCATGGGGAAAGTTCCACAGTTCCAAGTCACAGTTGGATGATATTTACAAGGCTTAATATCATCTTTACTGACTTATCTCAAGTTTTCACTGATAACAGAAATAAGTGTTTTTTGTCAAGCAGCCTAATTTATAATTCTGGGAATATAGGAACATTTTGTTCATAATATGACTATTTATAATCATTTGTTTAGTTTTAATAACAATTTGACTCAGAATTACTATATAGAGAGCAGTAGATTTTTATGATAACCAATAAAGGCAAATGTATTTCAGAAGAAAATCTGGGCCAGAGGGCATTATTTTATGGATGAGGACACAGGGGTACAGAGAGGTTAAATAATATGCCCCCAAGTCTCACAGCTAATTGGTGAAAAGATCTGGTCTAGAAGACAGATCCCTTGAGTCCTGGTACTATATTCATTTCTAAGTCTTTTGCCTCTATTAGTGAAAGAATAAAAATATAATTTACAATAAGGGCATTTCCCCAATGTTTCCTTGTGTTATAAAACTGATAGCACTATAGGGGCAAAATCCCAGCACTCTATGCATGTCTCTGGGGTAGTTCTGCCCAATGAAGACAGGACTGAAATTGTTGTAAACATGTGATCCAGGCAAAGCTGGAGCTCCCAAGGTGAGCAGAAGTCAGTGGTACAACTTCAACCGTGAAAGTACAGGGGTGGTGAGCTGA